GTTGTTTCCTTGCCGTGTTTCCTGAACTGCACGATGATTCTGTTGACTGTCGAAAGCGGGATTCCCAAATTCTGCAAAATTTGCCGCTGACTTATTGCACCATCTGCTTGACAAACTATCTTTCCTCTAACAAAATCTGACAATTTGAGAGAACCTTGAGTTCTAGGCATGTTGTAGCACAAGATAATTAGTGTGCGGACCATTTTCATTTATATAGTGCTCTGTGAACACAAATTAGTTAGCATAAATCAGTTAAATTAGGTGTCTATTTACTTGTGACCACTCAGTGTATATGATTCTGAAAGAAACTACTGATTAATAATATAAGCAATTCCATGCATATATATAAATATATTTTTTAATTACACTAGGATACCTTGAAATAGTGACATTATGTTATCATAATAATTAATGTTAAACATTTTTAGTAAAAAGCTGATAAGTGAAATGAGACTCTGGGACTAGGGCTTGAACCTGGGATGAGTAGCTTGGTGGTAGATCACTGGCTTTGTCAGACAGAGGTGCCAAAGTATCTTTTTACTTAGAAATATTTCATATTAATTATTATTATGATAACATTACTGTTTCATGTTATCCTAACAGATTTTAATATATATATAAGTCTAGTTTGACTTTTATAATATTTGGTTGAGTGGTGGTAAATCAACCCACTAATTGTCTTATAATAACACAACATAGTATGGTGATCATACTCGTAGTGAAAGACTGATTAATAACATTGTATATCATAGTGCTTTTTTTTATTTGCTTTAGTTTATGTTAACTTTTGTAACATATTTATTAACGTAAAGAAATATCAAACTTCTTTTCGAGTAACATCTTGTCAATTTCATTTATTTTTGGACAGTGACTATTTGTAATTATAGTAATGCAATATAAATGTTTTATTTTAACTACAACATGTATACAGTACAAGCTTGTGCCTGAAACTAGCAGTTAAAAGTTTTAAGACTAAGTAAAGAAACATTTAAAAAATAACTGCATGAATTTTTATATTTTTAACCATGAAATCATTCTGATTTTATTGAAGTTGATTGATATTTCATTGGATAATTCAGTCCAAATGAAATTCTTAGAAGTCTTTTATTATTGAAATTGCTTTAGAATGATTTGATGGACATTTTTTATCAGATGCTAGTGTATGTGCATTATTTATGATTTCTCTAAAGAAAGGACTAAACACGTGTTTGTTTATCAGTTAAAGCTGAATCAAGTCACACAATTGGTGTTGAGTTTGGGTCTAAGGTGGTGAATGTTGGAGGTCGATCAGTAAAGCTACAGATATGGGATACTGCTGGCCAGGAGCGTTTCAGGTCAGGTTATATTTCCTTTTGACTTTATGGAAAACATTTATTAGATTTACTTGATTTATTATATTTAACCTTTGTGTTTTCTTTCATGTCCCGGAAGGGAATTAATACATTTTGCACAAGTTTAATCACAGTTAAACTTATCCTCCAGAATTTCATGTTTTCCAGTATATTTCTTGTGTGTACTCCTTCAATAAAACCCACACTGAACATGTCCTCCCTTTCAACTGTGGGGACATCATAATGTGCTGATCAATCCTACTATTCATTGACAAAGAGTAGCCTAAAAGTTTGTGGTGCGTGGTGGTTATTAGTTGTTTTCCCTTTAGTCTATCACTTCAAAATTAGAAATGGCTAGAACATGTAGCCCTTTAGTAGCTTTATGTGAAATACAACAAACTAGCCAACCTACAGTACTAGTTGCACACAGATTAAGCTCTACTACTAATATTACTTAATATGAAATTAAGTTACAGGTTTTGCATTCTAATTGTGGGCAGGTCATATTAGGAACTTAATATTTATACTTGTACTTATATATTTTTAATTCAAACACTTCCTTAGGCAAGAGAAGAACTGGTAAATTCTTACTATATTTTCTTAACCCTAGAATGCCAGTGTGGTTAGTTTAGTATACAGGTTTAACTTGTATGGGGTTATAGTAACCCCATGCTGACATTCTAAGGTTAAGTTTGTCTGCTAATATAATCTTGCAAGCAACTTCATACACCATATATTAGATTCTTCACACCTCTACATATAGAAAGAGTTACAATATTGATACATGTATGGTATTTAAAAAGTAATCAGTTTTCAAATAAGAACAATATTTAGTCTGTACACATTTTATATATTGATGTACTCTCTTTATTAACCATTTTTGAAATTTAATAATTATATTCTAAGAAATAGTGTGAGAATGTTTGAAGTAATTTTGAAATAATTTATATATATTTTCACTTAAGGATTGGTAATTGTATAATATATATAAAATGAATATATGTTCTATAAATTGTACTTGATTTTTTTAAATATAACCACATGTCCAAAATTTTGAAATTACAGTACACAACTATGCTTGTAGATGTGTGGTATAAAGATGACTAAAACTAGTTTAGTCATTTGGTATTAACATTCAAGAAAAACAAACTTGATACTTGTCTGTACTTGATTTTTTAAAATATAACCACATGTCCAAAATTTTGAAATTACAGTACACAACAATGCTAGTTTAGTCATTTAGTTTAGTCATTTGGTATTAACATTCAAGAAAAACAAACTCGATACTTGTCTCTATTGTCAAAGGAATTATAAAAGGGAATTGCATATTATTTATATAAAATTTGAAGAAACATCAACACAATAAAAACATTTCAATTATTTTAAATCCATGTATTGGAATGGATTTAAAACCTTTTTTTCCCCTTAATGATATAAGAGAAACATTTATTTGAACAATAAATTATTACATAAATTAAACTTATTCATGCATGTATATAGTGATTTTCTAAGTTATACATTTGTAAAAGAATTATATGAATAATATTTCAATGTGCATAACTAGTATTTATGTTGTTATAAAGTTAGAATTTTTTTCTTATTTTGAAATGTATGAAAGGCATGCTGAAAAATTGAGGTTTGATGCAGCAGTTTGAGATACTCGTACTTGAAAAATTGAGAAAGTTATATTATTCAAGTGTGATATATACTTTCTTGGAATGGTTGAGCAATTAGAAACCCTTCAGTTTAACAACTAATTTCTCAACCATTCCAAGAAAGCAAATATCACACGTAAGCTCCTCAAAAGTACTTCTTTACTCTATCAAACAGGAATATTTCACAAATAAATGTATATCACATGGAAACCCTTCACTTTAACTACTATGTGATATACAGTTATTTGTGAAATATTCATGTTTGATAGAAGAAAAGTACTTTTGAGGAGCTTATGTTTTCTTGTCTAGAGCGTGATAAAACCTTGTGCTTGTAGTTGTGAAAGCTGTTCCTACAAAACTTGTACAAAGCAATTATGATTTCACTGCTATATCTTTCATGTAGATCTGTGACTAGAAGCTATTACAGAGGTGCTGCTGGTGCCTTGCTGGTATATGACATCACCAGGTATGGAAACATACAGAAATGTTAATAAAGAAGATTAATTACCATTTTGATGTGTTACATGGAAATATATATTTTCCAAACAAATTACCAAGATTATGTAATTTTAATGATTAAAACCTCTGCATGTATTAACATGTATATAGAACTGGCTTATTTAAATCTAGCTTCCAAAACATACTTATCCATTACATCAAGCCGATATATGGCATGAATTCTCAAGTTACTGTTTCAGCCAAGGAGGCTAATCAGACCTCCCCTATCCCACCTCTGATATCTAGCATGACTCAACAGTCCCCAAAGGGAGAGTATACTCTCAGTTGAGGCTGTCTGTGATCTGATTTTGAGATGGAGGCATATATTCAGTCTGAGGATGTTTTTCCAGGGAGCTCTGAGGCTGCATTTGCCGACAGTCCTGAACGTTCTGGAAGGAATTTAGATTCACTTTTTCCAGCACCTTCCTTTACTAGGTTGTCTTCTCATGAGGTCATTTTGGATCAGCCTTTTTTTCAGTTAGTCAATTGGGTGTGTTATGTTTTGGGTTTATCCCCAGTTGCCTTTGAGTTTACGCCTTCCTTGTTGGCGAATAGGTCCGTGGGTGAATACTTAGTTCTTCCTCCAACACCTGATATTGCTGTTCATGCAGAGAGGTTTACTGCTCAGTTATGTGAAGGGATAGCTATGCTTTGTCTGCCATGTTTGTCAGAACAACATGCTTTGGCTTACCACTGCCAAGAGGATGCAAATTTACTCTCTCAAAGACTAGACCCGCTTTTAGAAATGTGGGGTTCGAGAATGGAGCCTGTGATCAACTTGAACAGATCACAATTTTCTAGGATTTGTCTGACCCTCACTATGGTTCTGAGATATTTATCATCCATCCAATTTTGTTGGAAGCTTGTCAGTGATCACCACATCAATTTGCTGAGGAGTTGGGACCTTTATTGGCATCTACTTTGTTACGATTGTCAGCTTCTGCTCATTCTTTAGTTTCTTGGCTGGTATATTGTTGGGTAAAGATGGTTTTTTGGAGGGTTTTCGTCTACCTGGTGCCCCACCCTCTGTGAGTTACGCGTGAGGCCCCTTTTCTTTGAGCCTTGTTTATTGTGTGTTCAAGAGTCATTGGAATTATGGATTGATGTCACCTGTTTGCATTCATTGTTGTTGTCGTTGGCCTCTCAACTTTCCTCAACTCCTAGAGGGAGTCATGGCTCTACCCCTATTTGAGTGTCCCAATCTCCAACATCAGCTCCTTGATCCATTGATACCCAGAATAGCATTAGTACAATATGTATTTTGAAGAATAGTACAAGCTTTTTCTCATCACCTCCATTCTCTAGCTCTGTGCACACAACATTATATGGATGACTGGTTACTCCTTGCACTGACTTGTCAGTTGGTGGAACATCCCACCCAGATACTCCTTTCAGTGGCCACCTAAGCAAGCTTTATTATCAGAGACAAGTAATCTATTCCCATTACAACTCAATATATCTTCCATTTGAGTTTTTCTTCTACACATATCTCAGTTGGGCTCAGCTTACTCCCATCCGTCTCCATGCTATGGAACAGGCAGTCAGACTCTTACTCACGTCTCCTTCTCCCACTGCGTGGATGGTACTTTCTGTTTTGGGGATGTGGGCATCACTTGAATCTCTCATTCCTTTAGGACGAGCATACAGAGATCCCTTCAGAGGTCACTGTGCAACCAGTGGATCATGAACAGCAATCCACTGGATTAACCAGTCTCCTTATTTAGGATCAACATCTTAAATTTCAAGTGGTGGTTAGATTGGAACAGTACTATAATAGGTGTTTCTCTACTGCCACCTCTACCATTTCTTCACAGATACCTGACTTCAGGGATGGGGGTGCATATATCAGTGGTCAGGAATTTCAGGATCTATGGATGGATGACGAAACTTCCTTCCACATCAATATTTTAGAGCTTCTTGCTGTCCAAAAGGCTATGTCTCAAGGTCTTAAATTATTGAGAGGAAAAATTGTCATGCTTCACTCAGAAAATTCTATAGTGGTGGTTTACATGTACCATCAAGGGGACACTCAATCACTGCTATTTCCTCATTGGCCATCTCTGTTGAGGCAACCACAATCCGACATCATACACTCAGATATTCCAAGGCTCAGACTTCATGCGTGGAAGTTACGTTGTCCTTCACACGACATCAGGGTTTGAATTCTAAGTTTGCCATGTATTTTTTTCAGTCTCTACATAGTCCCATGATAGACATTTGGCAAAGGAAGTGGCACACATATTGACAATTGTGTCTCACGAGGAAATTGAATCCACTTAGTCCAGACGTGCCAATCATAGCTCATTTTTTGACAAGGGTTTAGCATTGTTTACAATCACTTTATATAAGGTGGCTTTATCAACTGCATTTCGATACTTGAAAAGATGGAAGTCATTTGAGGCCCCAGTGCTATCTGGCCTTTTCAAGTCGTTTCAGCTCCTTCGTCCCAAAAGGTGTTTTCAATTACCCAACTGAGTGGTGTTACATGCTCTGTCTCGACATCTATTTGAGCCCTTAGCCTCATGTACCATGTATCACCTTTCCCTTAAAGTTTATATTTTTGTTGCTGCTAGCCTGTGGACATCACTGGTTGGAGTTGTTTGCACTGCATGTGCACAGGACTCTTTATCATTCTACTTATGTCTTTCTATACCCAGACAGGTCCTTCCTAACTAAGACACTGGCAGCCAGGGAAGGGGATAAATCCTTCTCACAGATTCATCTGACCACTATTTCTCATCTCTATGACCGCATGGACTCTGATTGCTTGTTATGTCCAGTTAGTGTTTTGAAGTGTTATGTGGCTCTCACTAACTCCTTTATAGGTGATAGACAATGACTTTTTATTCATTGGGATCCTTCAGTTTCCCGTGATTTATCCCTGATTACTTTGATGAGGTAGGTTTGAAAATTGATCCATAATGCTTATTGTGGGCTCTCTTTGAAGGTGAGAAAACTTCTGCGAGTTATGTCTCATCAGATATGTCACATCTCTCTATCTTTAGCTGCCCAGTTGAATTGCACACTGCACAACATTGTGCTGGCTGGTATGTGGACCTCTCCCAATACTGTAATCTCAAATTATTTGCATGATCTGGCAGTTTCTTCCTCTGGTGGTTTTCGACTACTCCCTCTGACTATCTTGACCACATCAACTAGATTATAAGATGAGGTGAGTATTTTTATTGCTCCTCTTGTCTCTTATTTTCAGGGCTCCTTACCTCTTTTTCACTGGATCCCACTCTGTGGCGAGTGTTGCCCAGGCAGGTGTGCTTCATCAAACCAATTCTGCACTAGCAACCACTAACTCAATATACTTTATCTAGGTTGCAATAGGCTCTGTAGAAATGAGGTGTTTCATAAGATCACCTAGAGGCTGACTGGGTGGTATTACTGTATTACGCTGGACTATCATGTGTAAAGCATAAGGGCATCCTGCCCGTCCCTGCCAATCATTGGATTGAATAAACTGTGGTCAGTTTGCTTTTAAAAATTTAGGGAATTTGGTTCACCTATTGCACTGTTCCTCAGGATTCCCAACTGGGTATTACCCCCCAGATTCTACTAGTGGAGCCATGCCCAGTTTCCAGTCACTGGGGTGGTGGACAGAGGCTTTTCCTCCAGAGTGTTAGAGTGAATTTCCTACACTCTTGGAGAAGAGGGCAAAGTTGGAGGTCCTCCTACCTGGGTCCCTGTATTTTTTTTCACAGATGTTGGTAGGAGAGGCACCAGTCCATGCGGGAGCCTACTCGTAATACTGGTTCAGATTTGATCCTTCGCTATCCGGTTGGGATAAGCGTGGCCCTTCTTTTTTATCAATATTGGTTCAGTACATTGTTCATGGAAAAAGGTCCGTTGTCTCCTCATAATACCGAATGTAGAGTGGTCCCATCCTGGGTCTTTGATTGAACACAGTTGTTCCATGTCCTCCCAATAATTCCGGGGGCATGTGGAATTTACCTTGCCCACACGGTTGGGGAGTGAGGATGAGTGTTCATAGTTCCAGACCAGATGAGTTCTGTTTCCTCAGGTTGAGTAAGGTATACATGGTTCTGTCATTCCAAGCCTGGAATCAGGTTGAAGGAAAAGTTTGTCCACTTCAATGTTGCTTACCTTCTCATCATGACTCCAGTGGCTTGGAATGCATCACTCTATGGCTACAGGTTGGAATCTACTCATAAGTGTATATATATATATATTTGCAGTGCAATTGCTCTAGCCACTAATGTGAGATATAGGGACCATGGCTCTATAATTCCTACCCTGAGCAGTGGAACCTCAGCTATCTGGTTGGGGTCTAACCAACAGTGATGATAAATCACGTAAAATTCCACCCACAGTACAGGAATTAAATTCCAGGTGAAAAGCATACCTGCCGTGAATGTAGTGTAGTTTCCTCCACTAGGGTGCCAATCTTCTGTTGACACGCCCATGGTCTATGCAGATGCTTTCTGTATGGATAATGCCCTCACCAGCTCCTTCACCTTATCAATGTGAGATTCTAGTTGTAGTGTGAGAAGAGGTATGTTATAGAAGTTAACATTTTCTTAAATCGAAAACATATTTCCAATAATTTTTACTTCCTTTCACACTCTCCCGCCTTAATTACCTCTAAGAGCTGGTGTTAGAGACTGCAGATTGAGTCAGTACAAAATACTAGTCGAATAAAACATGGCCAAGACAAGTTACTTTGTACAGACCAAAGGTCACCTTTATGTTATTTGATACGATAACATGAGTGTACGTGAGCCATGTCGTTGTAACTTCTGTATTGTTAGCCAGGCACAGGTGAAAGGTCAATATAATAAAAATAATAAATATTTATAAATGTATATGTTATGAGATTTAAGCTATTTTGTCTAAACATTTATATTTTTGTGTTATAAGTTGTGTTCACTCTAGAATGAAAGAGGCATAATTTATGTTTATTTCCTAATTTTTATGGTGGTTGCGATATCGGTCAAATCTACCAAACCTGTACAGAGATTAATTACTGAATATAACAGATAAAATATAAAGTTTTTCTTAAGAAATGTTTGATAACTATCCAGACATTATAAATATTTCGCATGTGAAATTTAAAAATTTTCTGATGCATAAAAGTATTTTTAATCTAAAAATTAAAATTACTTTGCATGATAGATAGGCAAGATGTGAAGAAAAAAAAAGGCATGAAAGAAACATTGCTTTACAAACCTTAAGACTTAATCAAAAAATTAGATATTTTGCGTATGAAATCTACCAAACCTGTACAGAGATTAATTACTGAATATAACAGATAAAATATAAAGTTTTTCTTAAGAAATGTTTGATAACTATTCAGACATTATAAATATTTCGCATGTGAAATTTAAAAATTTTCTGATACATAAAAGTATTTTTAATCTTAAAATGAATATTACTTTGCATGATAGATAGGCAAGATGTGAAGAAAAAAAAAAGGCATGAAAGAAACATTGCTTTACAAACCTTAAGACTTAATCAAAAAATTAGATATTTTGCGTATGAAAGCATTGTAATGTTTACTGATAATCTGCTAAATTTCATTAACATTCACTTACTAATTTAAAAGCTATAGCATAAAAACTATAGCAAACACAAAATAATTATGAGTTATGACCAAGCCCAGGTTAAAAGAGTTAATTTTTTGTTTGCGTATTTTATTTGTTACTAATGCATTGGATCTGAATTGTTTGTTTAAATATGCAATATTTTGCAGAAGTCTCTTTCTTTTGTTTTTTTTATTGGTAGCCGAGAAACCTACAATGCCTTGACCAATTGGTTGACAGATGCCAGAACTCTAGCCAGTCCTAACATCATAATTCTTCTAGTAGGTAACAAAAAAGATCTGGAAGATGATAGAGAGGTTACTTTCCTTGAAGCCAGTCGGTTTGCACAGGAAAATGGTATTTAAATTTTTGAGTTTTTGTGACTTGTAGTAAGTGTATTTACCCTCAAACTGTGATATTAGTCACAAGTTAAATTCTATGCAGCACTGCTGAATCCTGTGAATATGACTATCAATTTGTTTTTTTTTCAGTTATTTAGTAGAGTACATGTTTTAGGTGATAATATAAATTATTTTGCTCCATAATACTTAGTAATTAATCTTAGCTGTTAATAGGTCAATTTTTTAATTTTTAACTGGAAGACTTACATAAAAACTCATTAAAAATAAGTATTTGTGTTTAAAACTTTATTTATAGTTTAAAATATTCTCTTTAAGGTTACAAAGACACCAAATGTAAGAAGCCCAAAGTAAAAAAAAAATAAAAAAAATACACAACATTTGCTCTTTGTCACCGTGATAAAATATATTACTTTTTATATTCACTAGAACAGGGTATTGGATATCTGTGTATTGTTATTCACTTTTACATTTATGTTTGTCCTTCTGGTTTCTATATTATATCACTGTACCATAATGTAACATCAAGCATGTGATCCCCAAATATGCTCCCACTCTACACTCAGAATACTTTGTTTGGGCCCACTATTAACTTGCATCCATTCTATATGTATTTTACATTGGGTTAGATTATGGACTTGTTAGCAGTCAATACATTCAAAACACTTTCACTGATAAGCTAACAATCACAATTTGGATTAAACATTTCCAAAAACTTTTCTTAAAGATTATATTTTTTATGTGTAGATGTTATTTTATTCACTTTCATTTTTTGTTGTAAAATTGTGAGAGTAAGAGATTTTTTTTGTAGAGCCATTTTTCCAATATTGAATCAACATATATTTGTACTTATTTATAGAACTCATGTTCCTGGAGACCAGTGCATTGTCTGGTGAAAATGTAGAAGAAGCATTCCTGAAGTGTGCTAAATCAATCTTGGCAAAAATTGAAACAGGCAAGTTTACATGTGTTTATTCCTTTAGTGGTCGAAGCAAGCATGTAGGCTGAATTGGAAGTTTGGGTGAAATCTCCACAGTTTGTAACTTTACAGTCATTAAAGAAGTCCAAAAAGAAAAATACTATATTTTATTTTGTTTTTCATAGATAAGTATAATTTTTTTAATATTAAAAAAATCTGTGACTCAAACTCTGCCAGTAACTGTTGTATTAACTTGTTAATTTTTACTTCACAATTTTTTGTTTTATTTTTTTCACTTTAGCTTGGTAAATTTGCCTTATTCTAATTATATTTGATGCTTTTTTTTCAAATTTGAACTGACTGGGTACATTTGCTGTTTAAAAACCTTAGATATAAAACATTAAAATTTTTTTCCCTCATGTTAAATAAAACTTAGTATGATATTTAATGCTTCCTAGTAATAATTGTATATTCACAGTTGAGTACTGTTTTTTTATTAATCTCCTATTAAATTTTAATATATATATATACATATTTATCGAGGGTGAGTCTTGATAAAAATGTCTGTACTTACTATTGATATTGGTTTCAGTATAAGCAGGTCTGACTAGCAAATTTGACTTTATTGATATTTCAAATGTAATTTTTAAATGTCCTTGATATTATTTGTATGACCTTTTTTAGTACATAATTTTTTTCCCCATATATTTTCTAAAAGCAACTGTCATAGCTAAGATTTTATAGATTTTACCTGTCGGTTGTGTGCATCAACACACCTTGGTACCATAAGTAAAGTTATTTGGAAATTTCACAGAAATTATGATTAGATTAATATATTACATGTTACAGCTTTTACAGTAAGTAAGATTTGTTTTTAGAACAGGTACGACATTTTGATCACTGGTGCGATCATTCTCAAATACACAAGTTTTAATGGTAAAGAACGTTTTAATGTTAAAACTTTTGTACTTGAGAATGTTTGTACCAGTGGTCTAAATGTCATACCTGTTCCAAAAACAAATCTTACTTACTGTAAAAGCTGTAATTTGTAATATAGATTAATATAATTAATCATTAAGTAAACTAAAAATGAAACTATTAAGAGAAATACATTGTTGAAAATTAGAAGATTTCTGTACACAAGATGAATTTTAAGGATCAAGCCAGTTTCTAAAGCTGAAATTTAATAGAATGAAAACTGTCAAGTGTCAGATATTTTACTCATTTTACAAGAAAATCACTTTCGATAATCATTGGTTGTATAATAAAGTTTATGTACTTTTGTAAGGTAAACAAAAATTATTACAAATCTTCAAACAAGAAATTTGTACTGGGCTGTTTGAAATTGTGGTATGAAATGTTTCATCATACTTTCTAGCCTGAAATGCTTCATGTTTTTTGCAAACTTAAAGCACAGCTTAATATCTTGTACATTACTTTTATATTGCTTCAAGTAAATCACTGAGGTTCAGGCCATACTGGCATAAATGATTCAGATGTGTTGTCTAGGAGACCATGCTTGTGGCAGTCTTAAATGGGTGTATTAGTTCTCCTTTTTTGGATATTTTTGTTTAAAAAACATTTAGTAATCATATTGTTAGGGCTTAATACACATTATAATGTAAAAAGTATTTATTTTGCTAGCTATGGGCTATGTTCATTATCTTACTTCAGATTATTCATGATGTTTGTGACTTAAAAGTTCCTAAATATAGTTGTATAATTTTTGTACCAGCTGATTTTAACATTTTTTTGTATATGATCAATCCATGCCTTTTGTAACATAAGGTTTCTTGATGCAAGTGTATTGTTGTGTAAATATTTATCATGATTAAGACAATCCATATAACTGATTATGAGGTTTTCATCTGGTGTTGTTACATCTATAACTTTTGTAGGAAAAACTTGATCGAGGAGCTATAACACATTCAATACATTTGGTACTAGAAATATGTCCAATATTTTGATGTAATTTTCCATTTTCAGGAGAACTTGATCCAGAGAGAATTGGTTCAGGTATTCAGTATGGAGATGCATCTTTTCGAAGATTGAATCGTCAGCAACAACAACAGCGACGCCCTGAATGTTCATGCTAGATCAATTTCAGTATAGTGAAAATTTGAGTATCTATCACTGCATTACTAGACATTTATTGAACAACATCACATACAGGGTTTCTTTTCATCTTTTTTTTTTCTTTCTTTTAATTGACAGACTTCAGAAGTTTCTCCTGGTGGTTTTGTTTTAAATATCATAGAACAATACTGATTATTTTTCATGCTTTAAACTTCTTATTGAGATTGACTATAACTACAGACATATATATTTTGTGTTACAAGTCACTGACCACACTAGAATTGGAAACCCATGCCATATGCATATTAAGCTGAGATTTTATGCTTTTAGATAATGTGATATTTTGGGCAACTTAATGTTAGTTATGTTGAAAAAAAGTGATTGATAGGTACTAATATTTGATGAGAATTTTGAAACCATTAATGAATGAAAATTCTTATAATTCTAGTAAAATACAACTTCTTTTATATTTATTGCAGATTTAGAGTTAGCATTGAAAGATATTATTCCAAAATTTATTATCTCAGTTCTAACATACAATTGATTTCCTAGTAGTGTAATTATTTTAGTTATAAACTTTATCTGGTACATGAATAAAGCGTTTATTTTCAGATACAAATAAGAACCCTTTCTTTTATCTTTCCACCTTCTTATGGATATTTTTTGTTTTACTTAAGAATTTGTCATGGCGAAAGACACAAAGTGATATTAGAATTTCAATATTCTAAAGAAACTTTGTATTAAAAGTTTATCAGGAAATATGCATTTGCCCTTAAATTACACTGTATGGTGATGTTCTTTGCATTCATTGGATATAATCATTTCATGGAAGGGAATCTGAAGTATGAATTTCTTTGTTATCTTAAGTACCTTATCTTGTTTGTTAAACATAGAAAATGTTTTTTCATATAGTCATACTCAGGGTAAAAAAATGGCCAAGAAAGGGTTTGGTTTGTGTCCATTCAAACATTCATTGTTATAGTTTATTTTTCTTTCATTTTTGTGGAGAAACAGTTAGGCTATCATCTACGAGAAACTCTCTCTCCCCAAGTTAGCTGCATAAAAAAAAAATTAATGTACTATCTTTATGCGTATGTTGAATCATTTAAAAAAAAAACTATTTTGGAGTTTGTAGTTATGACAAAGATATACATTACTGCTTAATCTCATATTTCTGTTAATATTTAACTGTATATGTGTGTGT